ATGAGGAAGAATGGCAAAAATAATAATATTTTTTTTTTTTAAATGACTGGGTGATTGACTCATTTGACTGGATGATTTTCTTGCAATTTATTAATATTTTGATCCAAGAAATAATGCAACTTCCTTTTAGGGTCACAAATAATTTTTTCTCTCATATGTGGCAAAATTGTCAACAGTTGCCCAGAGAGCGTGTTTTGCATTCATCTATATCAAAGTTGTGAGCTGAACTTGATGGACTTTAGTCTTTTTTTTTTTTTAAAGCTTATTAGCTATATGTAGAATACAGTGCAGTAGGTGGCATCATCATTATAAGTGTGCAAAGATTAGGTTTTATACAATAGTAATGGATAAATGGTCATTTCCAGCCTGATACAAATGAAGCAACACTTAGCCATGTCTTATTGGTACAAGTGTAGTCCACCACCAGAGACTTTGGTCTTCCAAGCAAACCAGCTACTGGTGCTACCCTTAAAGTAGAACTATGGTCTCTTAATTTAAAGTACATCTGCACCTACAGTTTTTTCTTAGTCCTCCCGCAAGGTCCCACAAATACAGTGGTACCTTGGTTCACAAACGCTTCTGTTCGCAAACAATTCGGTTCGCGAACAGGAAGTTCGGCAAAATTTTGCTTCTGTTCGCGAACTCCGCTTTGGGTGACGAACACAACCGCAGCCATCTTCCCTGCTCTGACACATAGTCATGGCTTCCTCTAGTCGAGATCACGGTCTGATCACAGTTTCATTCGGTTCACGACCAAATCGGTTCGCGACCAGAATCGTGGAACAAATTAAGTTCGTGAACCGAGGTACCACTGTACCTGTTGAGCCTGCCAGTGAAGTCCACCTACTGCAGCTTCTTGTAATGAGGTAACAACAATACTGAACTGCTCCTGAATTCAGAACAAAGTTGCAACTCTAATGTAGGTTGTGCCTGCTTGCACTACAGTGGGATGAAAAAATGTTGCAGGAGACATGGCAAGGATTAAGTGGGGGGTGCCGGAGGGGCAGCTGCCCAGGAGAAAGTGTTTTTATGTAGAGAGGGATGTGCTTGAAACTTGCTAATTAAAAGGAGTGAAGGCAGCATCCCTCATGTCAGGCAGAGCAGGAGCCACAATAGCATCTAGAGAAGGGATTCTACTCTCAGCCTACTCTGGGTGAAAGTGAGTAGGAAGAGTGTAGTCCTGCTAAGAAGAGACCTCCTTCTAAGCATGGGTGCCTATGAAGGCAGGTGTTATGAAGGTCTCAACTGTTTGTGAAAACAGGAAGGGTGGGGGGGAACAAGAGCTCGAAATCCCAAAGAGCTTCATGGCCACTAACCTGTCTCAGAGCCCTTCAGCTTCCCTTCCTCTCCTAGAGCCACACAGGACCCCTTAGTTAAATGCACTCCACAGAGCCAGCTTCCCAGTTCCCCTCCCCTTCCCTCTTTCATACTACTGGCAAAAATGCCAAATCAGTTCTCTTCAAACTGGCACCATTGAGACAGCAGCATTTTATCCTTACACTGACTTAGTGGCATTTTTTTCCTTCAACACTGATACAGCTGCATTTTTTTTCCTTTTTAGTGACATCACTGGCACAGATGCATTTTTTAATTTCAGTGCCACCACCGGCGCAGTGGCATTTTTTCATTTCCAGTTACACCACCGATGCAGGTATAGCACTCACCCCCGCTGGAACCACTGGAATGAACGGGTCTTCCATAGCCTCCGACCCAATAGCATCTACCACCCTTCTCTGGTGACAGATAAAACTGAGAGAAGGTATAGGGCTTAGGACATCCATGGCAAAAAAAGAACAGAACAGAACTCCAGACTCACCATTCCTTTCAGTATTCCACAGTGCAGGATCAATAGAGACACACCTGAACAGGTATAGGCATAAAATCTTCAGCAGAAGAGACACCAGACTTGCTCCTGAGGTCCATTCCAGTACCAGGCTCTTCCAGCAGCCTTGAGCTTCTCTGGTTCTCCTCCTCCATCAATATTAGGCCTCCTCCAGGTTTGAGACCTAGGCAACATTTCCCACACTTGAGCATTCCCACCCCTAGGCCAAGCCTGGGGGCAGGTTTGAACCCCAACCAGGACTAGGCTGAGCACTTGGCAATTCCCCTGAGTATATGAGTGTGAGCCACACACACTCATAATGTTCCCTCATTGGCTGTCCCACACTGCAGCAGAGTCATGCCTCACTCAAGCAAGTACAGTCAATGTCAGAACACCTGGAATTAGCCAGGTAAATGCCAACTTTAATTCAGCCAGACTGACTACAGCTCTGACAACACAAAATTTCTTGTAGCTACTCCATAAAAGGTGGTAGGGGCTACACAAGGGAATTTTTCCTTCTAGTGACACCAACCACGTAGAGGCATTTTTTTCTCACAACGAGACTGGAGCATTTCTTCCTTCACCACTGTTAACCCCATATTTTACTGCAGGACAGAATGTGCAATACTATGAAACTGCCCCAACCATTGGCACAATGTCACAACATGCTGCAACCAGTGGAGGAACTGC